AGTTTAAGGAAATTTCCTTAAAAATGAGAGCCCTGATTGGCACATGCGCAAGCGTCACGCAAGCGCATCACGGATGGCACGCGCAAAACATTAGGCGTTTCCAGTTCCTGTCTTCTGGATTGTCTATGATCCCAGGTCTGGTTAAAATTAAATTCAATTCAATCAGGATGTCATTTTATTTATTATTTAAAAGCGTTTTAAGAGTGCTGAAGCAATATAAATAGTACTAAATTTATACACTCGAACGGGCTGTGTCAGCGTAGGTATATAGTGACAATAACACAAGCAAGCTACAAACCAAGAAGGATACAACTGTATCTGCATGAGAAATACAATTAAGTAGAAGGCTCGAAGGCCCGTAACTTTTACGTGGCCGGCGGTATTCTTTAGGAAGTCGAATCCATCTCAATCCGCAGCATAATTAGTTCTAAGTGAATATATTTTCTTACTTCTTGATTGAGAAATTTGACGTCGCTGACCAAAAAATCGCAGGCAGAAACAAAGCCCCATTGGTATTTACATCCAAAACAAAGCAAAAAGTTAGCAAATTTTTGCTTTCCATTCAAACGATCTACAACTCAATGGTTATTCGACCAACAAGCGCAAATTTCGTGCTCGACCAATCAGCGCATTTGTTTACATTTTTGCTCTCAGCTAATCATAATGCAGGAAACGAGAAATTTACACCAATTAAGGTGAGCTAGAAAATATTGCCGTTTTCTCGGGCTTCCGTGAGATTCAATTTTAACTTTTTTAATTTAAAACCAAAAGATTATGATGTAGCACATTAAAATGTAAAACTTTGCTGTGGGCATTTTTAAATTTCGTCCTAGAACGGAAAATATCCGTGTTTGAAATTTTTCCCTATGTCGCGTATACAAATTTGAGTAATCTAATTTGACTGCATGCAATAAAAATAAAAATTGCTATATTTTCTCTGCTTTACGTTTTTTTAACTCTTTTTCGCTCTTGTTGAGAATCATTTTGGTCAATGTATTATTTCATAACCTAGAAGATAACGCGTTTAGAGAGTCTGATTTTCTGCAAAATCGGTCGGACAATATTTTTGTATTGATTTCCCGTATGATCGCGAGCGTGCGACTATATTTTTTTTTAAATCAAGCACTATAAACGCGTTATCGTCTAGGTTTTGATATAAAACATTGACCAAAACAATTTGCAACAAGAGCGAAAAAGAGTTTTCCAACAAAAACTTAAAAGCAGAGAAAATATAGCAATTTTAAGTTTTATTGCAGTCAAATTAGATTACTCAAATTTGTATACGATTTGTATACGCGACATACGAAAAACTTTCAAACATGGATATTTTCAGTTCTAGGGTGAAATTTAAAAATGCCCACGGCAAAGTTTTAGATTTTAATGTGCTGCATCATAATCTTTTCGTTTTAAATTAAAAAAGTTAAAATTGAATCTCACGGAAGCCCGAGAAGACGGCAATATTTTCTAGCTAGCCTTGTTGTTAATTTCTCGTTTCCTGCATTATGATTAGCTGAGAGCGAAAATGTAAACAAATGCGCTGATTGGTCGAGCACGAAATCTGCCCTTGTTATACCGTAACTAAAAATGACTCAGCTAGATTAATGCATGGCTCCAATTCAAATATAGCCAAAAATACATTAAATTATATTAAAAAATCAGTTTAGTCTGTATGAATGTGGTCAATGTTGGTATATGAGACAATAGGATTTTACTTTTTTTCTATGCCTTTGTTGCCGTGGCAACAGTCACGTGACCATTTAAATGGTCTCCATCCAAATGACCAGAACAAGGCCGCTGCGCTAGCGGATATTCACTCAGATAAACTAACATTTACACATTAACGTTCTTTAGTACTCACAGATTATGGATCCAATCAGCCCCTGTTCCCACACCGTTCAGAATTATATATATTTTCGATAATATGCAACTGACACTATGCTCATCAGGTGTCAATAAGTGCACATTATTTTGAAACGAAGCCAGCTCGGAGCAGGCGCTGATTCGTTTTGTAAACTGCGAGGTTTCCACTAAACAAAAGCGTTGTTAATGTACTAAATTGACTAAAAACCGCGGTCAGCGAAGCAAACGAGTTTTCTTCCACGAGATCATTTTAGTATCGCCGCCATCATTATGAGCCCGCGTTGGAAGTTTAGTGGATACACGCATAAATATACAAAATTATTAAATTAACATTCCAATGTTGTAAGATGATCACGCAACAACAGGAATCTCAAATCTTTACCGCTTCAAAAGCAATAATTTGACTATCAGAACGGACAATATTAGATTTATTACTGACGATTTAAAACATAGATAATATTTATATCGTAAAGAGGATGCGAAATTGTGATTAGATTGCTACTAATGTGAAGAAATTTAACTGCGAAAATGTTTAAGAATTACGTAGACGACATATACAACTATAAATATACAGAAGAATTAGGGGCATATCGTGTTAACTAAATCCTCTATTGCATAATTGTAGGTGTTTATCAAACCGGAAAAATATTATATGAGGAATGCACTATAAATCCGAACGAGATCAATAAAACCAAATATTTCCCCATTTCAAACATTCGTTGATATATATAGTTATTTAAAATTTGAGTCAGCTTTGCACAACAATATTTCGTGTATTTATTAGTGAGACGCAAGTGAATTTACAAACGCTACATATTATCTGCTGTTTGACAAGAGCCATTTGACAGTAATACGCTTAACTCTAATCATAATAATAATAATATATTAACTCGTTCGGATTTTGGCGCAAAATTTAAAATTGATTTGATATACAGGTACTCTGCAATGTATAAAATATGGTCCTAAGTTTTAGTTTAATTTGGCCACCCAAAAAGACATTTTGAAAGAAGACATTTTGAAACTTTATTACGCCCACGTGAATGACGAATACTATCAAGACACGCGCGCCTCCCGCGTGGTGCATAAAGGTCAATACGTGGACGGAGCCATGCATTAATCTAGCTGAGGAGCAAAGATACTGTATAAATTTGAAAGAAGCTACAGTATAAGAAAAACTCACGTCAAAAATTATTTCTCAAGTTCTACTGCATTTCACCAAAGTTCCACGAGCATTCAATAGATGTGAGACTTTATTTGATAATCCAGCATGTTATATCGTTATGCAAACAAATAAACGTTAATGTTTTTAAATTGTCTATTCTAAATTAAATATTTATGTTCATCAGACAGTCAAGGTGCTTACCTTCATTTTTTAAAAATGGACGATTTTCTGATTTGAACATGAATTTTTGGACAATACTTATTTGATCCCAAGGCTAACGGAGATTTTAATTAAGGAGGAGTTAAAAGTTTTAAAAAGTTACCTCCTAACAACCATCGCCATAGCAACAGTGACGTATCAATATCGGGGATATTTTCGTTTGAAGTAATTTAACTCGAAAATAAGGTCTGTGAACCCCATTTTTTAATGTATAGCATAATTTCTTTCGGGTCTAAGGTTGATACCATAGCGTGATGTCTTTCTGAGATTGGTATACCTTATTTTCAATTTGAATAATTTTAAATCCAAAATATCGGCTATATTCAAGCGTCATTGTTGCCATAGCAACGGTAGTTGCAATTCTGTAGTAAGTATTTTTCTATTCGTACTTTCTTTGTCTTATTATAACATACAGGAAATTCGGAGATCTTCCATTTTCTAGCAAACCAGAAGAAGCCACTTTAAAATTTAGGCCTAGTGTATATATTTTTTAAACATAGAACAAATAAAATAGTTGACATAATATATTAATTCCAAGTCATCTGACCTCCAATTTTGTGATCTTTGGAATGCCGTGTTCAATTTAGCCTCCAAATCGTTAAAAATTATCGTTAGGGTAGTTATTATAGGCATAGCAATTTTTTCTTGTACGCTTTGGCGTTCCTGTATATCTTTCTATTTTATTTGTCTATCAGGGTTTTATGAATTTTGATTAACATCTGCCTAATGCATGTGCTAAGTTTCGATTTATTTCATAATACCTACTCGACTCGATAATATACATCTATTTCAATTAAGGTTGTCCCCGAGCAAAGAGGAAAAGTCGAATACGAGCGTGAAAGGCTGCCGGGGATCGCTAAAAAATTATTTAATTGTTTAGCGATTCGCAGCAGCCTTTCGCGCTCGTATTCGACTTTTCCGCTTTGCTCGGGGACAACCTTAATTGAAATAGCTGTATACTAAAAATAAATATACTTTTTGACAAAAGCATGTATCTTCGAGGCAATTACGTAGGTACATACACGCAAACATATAATTCGAATGCAAGAGAGTATTCTACAAGAATATTTTTGGGTTCAAAACTATATAAATGCTAGTTATACAGCTGAATGAAGGCCTTATCCAGATGGTTAATTTAATTACTAACAAAAATAATGCTCTGGCAAAGATATCTGGGGCGAAACGAATGGAAGCTCTTCATATGCAAGGCGCTTCAGATAGTTGTAAATAGAAACATGTTTGGATTTTGGCGCAAGATATTCCAGAACAGTTGTAGCAGGGAGCTGACGATTTTGATGTTGAAATTCTTTTCACCTAAAATTTTTTGACCTTTGTGTTGCTGTGTTAAATCGAGGCTTTAATGTTACGCATTTTCGCATAACTTAATCCCCACTTATATAATTGCTTGTTTGGTTTGTCAGTCTTGTAGACCTACTATTTTATAGCCTGTGAGGGTTTTATGCAGGTAGAATCTAAAATATATTTTTAGTACAAATTTTTGTGTAACATCAGTGTCTATATGTAAATGTGCAGTCTGTTAGAAATATTAACATAACAATTATCCTTGTACATGTGTTTTTATCTCCTTCAAAAACATTGAAACCTATGAACATTTCAGGCAAAAAACAACCGCTAACAAGTTTCCCAATGATAATTTTAGCGCAGAAAGCTAGATAAACCAGGAAGCATCTCAAAATTGTGTCGCGTGTCTGAAATGTGCTGCATACTTAGTCAAGTGTATATAATAATTACACTCTTATTATATCTTCAGCAGCAGCAGCAGCAGCAGCAGCAGCAGCAGCAGCAGCAGCAGCAGCAGCAGCAGCAGCAGCAGCAGCAGCAGCAGCAGCAGCAGACACGAAAACATCTCCCTCCGACAAGCCAATACTTGTCCTTGTATGCGAATTCATTCTATATGCGACCAATGTTATACCAAAAGTTCTTCCAACATCAAGGTTCGCAAGATTTGCAAAACTCGGTTTCTAAAATTTAGGAACGGCTGAGAACCAACTTTGCATAAAAAATATGAAAGCCAACCGAACGTTCCATGTGGAGAGAAACTGTTCATTACTTGAAACTTTATACACGCGATATTCCTTTTGTGAATGTTCTAAACTACGTTCAGCAATTACTTAAAGAGGCCAAAAACAAGAAGCTGAAAGGTCACAGCTTTGAGTCGAACCATTGAGATAAAAAGGAATATGCAACTAAAGACGCAGAACCAAAAATTGAAATAAAGAAAGGAAAACTTACCAAAAATGAATTCTCAATTTCTACTGCATCTGCTAAAGTTCCTTGAGCGTGCAGAAGCCGAGGAAGATCTGCAGAGATGCATAAGTGTCCTATTTAAATTATTCTTTCTCATTTAATATTCATGTCCAATAGATACTTAAACGTAATCTATTTTAAGTGCACTCCTGCTTCGCGACACCTACTTAATAAAAGAGTTATGCGAAGAGTACGAGTCCGTATGTCCGGAAACGAGATAGGAACTCAAAGGGACTGGCCTGGGCGGGTGAAAAAAACGTAGTCCCTAAACAGTGTTCGACTCAAAACTAAAATAAACAAACCGCCCCACCCAACTTGTGAACATTCACCGAGTCCTGCACAACCGCTTCTCAAACGCCAAACTGCGATAATATATTCACTCTCCTTACTTTAATGATTGCACTTAAAATAGTGTAATATTTACGAAGTCATTGAACTAAATATTGAACCAGACACAGTACTAAAATGCGTGCCCCCCTACAAATAAAACTTTTTGGCGTTTCCGCCTACATGCACAAGTAAAGTTATGTTTAGCATGCTACACATTCTACTGTCGGCCGCCAGTTGGTTCGTACGTTAGGATCAAAACTGCGTTTTAAAGCCTTCAAAATAAAATATTTTGAGCTCGAAATACTATCAAAATGAGGAGAAAAGTGGGACGAATCCACTGGCATACGGCCGAAAACGAGAAAACCAACAATTCCGATGTTACCAAGGATCAAACGGACTGCATTTTTAATCCCCGAGCCAACGGCGCGAAGCGCCGTGCGAGGGTGCTAATTCCCCCGGCTATTTACACCCGGGGAAACGAAAGCATTAGCGAAGTCTAAAGTTCATCAATTATCGCGGGCGAGGATCACCAACGATGTTTGGGTGTTCAGTGGGTGGTTTTCCTCACTGATCTCAAAAATATGGCGGACTGTCATGAATAGCGGACACTGATTGGTCCACTTTAAAGTTTGCATTATAACGACTGCATGACGACAGCGAAATAGCAAACATTTCTTGATTTGATGATTGATAAATTTCTTGCAAATATATTTCATTTTTGCTCGCATTTTGCAAGATTTTGTGAATTTCAAGAAAGAAAGGGCCTAAGAATTGGCTAAAAGAAGTGAGTCGACGTTAACGAAGGCATAGGCGTATGGGCTGGGGGGGGGGCACATGCCCCTCCCTAAAAAAAATTTACGGTCGGGCAGAAATCCATGCGTCATTCCGGGAAAACATAAAAATTTCGGAAAAATTCTTTTATATCCGGAGAAATTTTTGTGTGTGTGGGTAAATTATGGGATATAAGGGAAATTTTTTTGGTATGTCCGGAAAATTATTTGTATGTTTGCGAAAATTAGGGGATATAAGGGAAACTTTTTTGGTATGTCCGGGAAAAATTTTTTAAGACCTCTCCCCCGCTCGCCAACAATTTTTGCGGAGAAATATTAATTAACGACAGTCGAGCAAACTAATACTGTGCCCCCCCCCCCGCAAACAAGATTAGGCCCGTACGCCCACGAACGAAGGTAATTTTGTTTTAAATATTGATTTCATAATGGCTTTAAAACCCAACGGCCTTTGCGTATATGAAACAACTAAACAAGACGGCATATAATTTCAGTGTATATTTAATACTGATTCCCTTTTTTATGATATTGAATTTTTTAAATAAAAAAGAAAGCAAAGTTATCTGCAAGCGAGAATTTGAAATCATTTTATTGCAGACTCCAAATTTATCGATAAAGCCATTTTAAAAAAATAAAAGGCAGTTTAGTTTTATAAACAACACTAGTGACTTTAAAACGTTTTGCGATGTGTTTGTGCTTGAATTTTATCTTAAATTGAGGATTATATTACGTATAATAACATACCTAACATATATATGTTGGGAAATTAATAATTTTGTAATTAAAAGTGATATTTTTAAGGAAGTATTCCAAAGGTCTTAGGTTCGATTCCCACCGTAGCTGGGCATATTCTTCAAGCTCGTCCGGTGTGTATGTACACTCAGAGTAACATTACAAACATGATTTTTCATTTGTAAGAATATTCTTAGAAAATTATCGTGCTACCATGACAACTACTTTAGATATTTCATGTTCGGAAAATACAATGGTTTTGTCAGCAAGGTGAGGGTTTCTGCATGCATGTAGTTTCAGCAAGAAATGGTCTTTCATTAGCTGATAAAAATGAACCTTGGGTAGATGTTTGCCAGGTTGTATATTTCTTGTAGCTTTGACTTGCATAAGGAAAAGAAAATATATACTAACACTACATGCTAGATGATGAACTCATTGTTGAAGAACATATTAGTTATGTTTATATAGAAAAAAGAACACTGTAAAGTCACCTTGCACTGGACAGAGTAATGTAATAAGTGCAGAGCTCGGCACAGGTAATTTACATTACCATTTGCAGTTTAAATGTTAATAAATTTGATATTTTACATTCATCCAGCTTTACATGCAGTCTTACATTTTGAGGAGCATTACAGTACAAAACTTAAATGTGCCCTACTAGCCTACTGCCCTTTCATTATATTACTCTATCTAAGAGCATATAAGGTTATATTTCATTAAGGGGTGAATCTTATTAATAGCTTGTTTGTGAAACATTTGTCTGGTCTCGATAAATCGATATATTGACATGGTCTCGATAAATCTAAACATTGACATGGTCTCGATAAGTCGAAACATTGACATGGTCTTCGATAAATCAAAACATTGACATGGTCTCGATAAATCGAAACACTGGCATGCATAGTCTCGATAAATCGAAACATTGACTTGGTCTAGATAAATCGAAACATTCACATCACATTGTCTCGATAAATCGAAACATTGGCATGGTCTCCATATATCGAAACATTGGCTTGGTCTCGCTAAATCTAAACATTCACATGGTCTCGATAAATCGAAACATTGATAGAGTTTCCATAATTGATCAGAGATGCCTTTGGATAAACCAATATTTTCACTGTTAGCTGTCATGCTACTTTTACATTATTTGATCCTTTTCAGAACAGTCTATAATATGTATTGTTAATTTTAGGTAAATTTGATTGTTTTGGCAAGTGAAGAAAATTTACCAGTAAACATGCCTTGCTAAACCTGACTTGTTTATCAATTATCCAGCAATATCTTTATATATAAACAATTTTATCCATATTTTACATTAGACTTTGTATGTTGTAGATAAGAGATTCAAAACCTTGGAACCCAAAAACTTTGGTTGGGAAACCACCAGAAGAAAATCAGGTCTCCTTTATGTCTGGTGATGTGAAGGGACTGAAAGTAGTTTCTTCTGGATAATGAAGTTTATTACGCTACACTTAGTAGTAAGGTAAGATTAGGAATTTGCGAACGCTGTACGGCGCCAAAGAGATGGGAGAAGTGAGGGCTTCAGTAGTGAGTGGTGCATGGTCGAAGCAGTGTTTGCGAGCCAGCCTTGCAATTCTATAATTCCTTGCATTTCCTGCAAGACTGTATTGGCGGTATCGCACCGGTGAAAACGTAGCGAACGTCGGGTGTCTCGAGTCAGTTAAACGATGAACTCAAAGACAAGTTTCCCATATCAAAACCATTTGACATCCTAACCCAGTCGCAAAACGATTCCACAAGTCGGCGAAATCGAAAGCCGGTGTCCGTGAAAAGATGGAGAATACTCATGTCTTACAAAAATCCTTCACGGTGGTGGACAAGCTTGCAACTAATAAACCAAATCGTTCAGAGGAACTTGACGCCAATGAAACGTTTGGTATGTACTTAGCACATTCGTTGAGGCAAATCAAAGACCGGCGTACTAAAGAACTGCTGAAGCTAAAGATTCAGCAGCTGTTGTTTAATGCTGAGTTCAGCGGACAGGATCAACTGCCATTCACTTATTGGGCATCCGAAAGTCAAAGACTTAAGTTTTAATTGCTTTTGTTTGTTTACAATATTAGGTTTTTCAATTATATGTCATTTTCATTAAAATCACCCCGATCCACTATATCCAATATACAAATATTTCAATTTAAGATGTCCCCAAGCAAAGCAGGAAAGTCCGTAACGAAGGGGGAAAGGCTGCCGAGAATCGATAAAAAAATTCATTAATTTTTTAGCAATTGCCAGCAAGCCTTTCGCGCTCATATTCAACTTTTCCGTTTTGCTCCTGGACAACCTTAATTATAATAGCTATATACTGTACGTATACCAGCTGTTTTTCTTTGTGACTTGGTCTTTGTCCGATACCAGCGCCGAAGAATCGTATCTTCACTATTGTGCAGTGCATTTTTTAAGGATTCTTCAGTGGTGGGGCAAAACTGCCAATGGGCCCATTTTCCTTGCCATCCCCCCAGGGTAGTAGGCACGAGTTAGCTAGCGGGGTCAGAAGGCATGCTCCTCAGGAAATTTTTAAAATCTGTGTCTCTGAAATAGCATTTCCTGCATTCTGAAAACACATTTTAAAAAATAGGTACCCACTGCGCACATGTGGCTGGTCTATTCTGCCTGTTGAATAGAGCCGGATTTCACATTGTCACAAACATTCATTACAAACATTCATTGTGATGCAAAATTAATAATTACAATAGAATAATGGTCAAAATAAAACAGATACGGTATCTTTCTCACAATGCCAACAACAATCACTCAATTTAAAAGCAATGCCAATAGTTGATAGCAATGGTGCAGCCAACAATATCATTGAGTCACATGCACTTTAATTAATAAATATTTTGCTTTAATAATAAACTTATACAGCAAATAATGATGACATGCAATTTATTGTTTTTCAAAATTTCACTCTACAAAAATATAGTAAGAGGTAATTGTTAGTAATGCCTGTCTAAACAATCCAGTAATTCATTGCATAGCTTTCTTGTTACAAATATATTCTGATGTCTGGTTTGAAAGTTACTAGCTTTTCTTGAATTGCTGGCATCGCAAATTTCATAGAACCTTTAAATTCAAAATTTTTCATTAATATAATATTTAATACTAGATTTTAATCATTTTTTTATTTATTGTAAGATCCACATAACAGATCGGAATTTGTGATGAACTCATCCAATTCGTCATGCCATTACCACTAAAACTTTTGTCTGATAGTAATTGTACTAATGTGCTGCCATGACACTGGCATATTCTGATCTTCCTATATTATCTAATATTATCACCAGTCGCCATATTATCAGGAAATTGTCCAGAATGTGTGCTTACTTAGTTGTTTGATAATTACGGGAACCACTCAGTATTTCAAGAAAATACAAAATAACAGTAACTCCGAATAACATTTTGATTTTTAATCGACGTTTCGACTAGTTTTCAGTCATCCTCAGGATTACGAATAGTGTAAAATTACAGATGCATCTATTATAAAGCCAAGAAAGGCGGGGCTTAATGTCAATGAAATTTGATAAGTTCTTTGGAAGCTTTCGCACCGTGGTTGAGATCAGGTTTCATCTGCATATAGCAAGAGACCCCTTAAATAACAACAGAGACCAGTGGTCTGACCTATAAATTATTTACAGTTCCAAGTATTAGTTTAGTTAAATTAGTGTTTATAGGGTTAGTAGAGTCAGGTGAAAGTTTCATAAGGGATTTGATGTGCCGAAAATGTTCACAACAGTTGATGTGTGCGTTGATTTCCGAGTTTTCTCGCGTGCTATGTTCTTTAAGACGCGTGTATAGACAGCGGTCTGTTTTACCAATGTAGGTGTTTCGGCAACCTGGACATGAAAATCCATATACAACGGAGCTTTTGTATTCATTCGGTGTCTTGTCTTTGCAGGACAGGAAAAAATTGGAGTTCGTGGTTTTCCAGTTAAAAATAAATTTACACGGACTCTTTAGTAAACGGCGAATTTTGTTGATGAACTTGGTCAAAATATTGCCATATCTGCCAATAAATGGAAGTCTTATCCATATTTTGGGTAGATTATCAGGTGTTGCGCGTTCTGTAAGGTCAACGTGTGGGATGTTATTGCTTCCCTCCGAGTTTAGTGCAAAGGCATTAATTAGTTTCTTGGTCAGGTTGCGAGAGAAATCATTCCAGAACATAAAATCTCGTATAGTCGTGAGTTTTAACTTTGTTACATATCTTTGTTACATATCTTGTAGGCGCGGTTGATAAGGACTCTTATCCATGCTGTTTTGCGCGACCAAGACGTGAAACTTGAAAGGTGCGTATATTGACCTGTTTAATGCTTTAATGCTTTATAGACTGCTAAGGAGTTATATATACTGCTAAGGAGTTATATATACTGAAAAACTAGATAATATTTATATTTATTTACAAGAAAGTCTTTATAATCACTGTATGACACATATATTAGGCGGTGATTATAGAATGATCTTGTTATATGTTATTAACACCAACAATGGCAAAAGCGACAAACGACAATAAAAACAACGAAAACAACTCTAAGACTACAAAACGAACATATAGCTAGTACAATAGAAACGATTCAAAACGATACTAATTAGCTACATTAAGTGACTTAATTGAAGTCATGGCAAGGGTTTTGAAACTTGGGGTTGATTGGCAAAGATTGTTAAATGAGATGTGATTCCTGGTAACGATTGTTCTTGGATAAAATGAAAACTTAGATACATTGACATACGACTGAATTTGGCGGTAAGGACAGATATTAGGCGGCCTGGATGCTCTAGTCAAAGGACACACGTCATCAGGAAGACTGATTCCAACAAGGCCTTCAGATGGATCTTGTAGAACATAGTGGCTTGGTGTAGCAGCCGCCGTTGTTGGAAATTGTCCCAACCCAGATGGTCGATCATTGGAAAGGCGCGGCTAGCACTGGAATGGTTATTGAAGACAAATCCAGCAGCTCTGCGTTGAACCATCTCAATCTTGTTGATGTTCCTCAAGGTGTAAGGGTTCCAGACTGTAGAAGCATACTCAAGTTGTGGACGGACAAGACTAGTATACGCTCTTGACTTACCAGCAGCGCTACATTCACCAAGGATTCTTCTAAGTAAGTCAACAGTGCTATTTGCCTTACTACATATGATGTCACAATGTTTGTTCCAGTTCAAGTTGGTAGAAGATACTCTGCTAATTGTTTGATTATTCATCATATAACTATATGTTTTAGGGACACGTTTATTTGAAATTCCTAGGTTGTAGCATTTTGAGAAATTGAAATTTGGTTGCCACTTGCTAGCTCAATTATTTAGATTGTCTAAATCCTCTTTTAACGTGACGTGGTCCTAATCATTATTAATTTCTCTATAAATGATTCCATCGTCAGCAAACAAACGAGTTTGGGATTTAATATTCTCAGAAATATCGTTTATATAGAGAACAAATAATACAGGTGCGAGAATTGTTCCTTGAGGTACTCCAGATACGACCGGTTGAGGGCGAGAGTGGGAGCCATTAACCGAGACAACTTGAGAGCGGTTGGAAAGAAAAGCCTTGATCCAATTGGCGGAAAGTCCTCTAATACCATAATGGTCTAATTTGGACTTCAGACGAAGATGAGGAACAGAATCAAAGGCTTTACTGAGGTTTAAAAGAATCACATCGGCTTGTTTCTTCTGGCTGATACTTTATGCCCAATCGTTGATTGCGTAATTAGTTGAGTTTCACACGAAATTAGTTTGCGAAATGCGTGTTGTTCATTAATTAGAATATCATGATATGCTAAGTGCTTTGAAACATGCATGGCTAAAAATGATATGTTCCATTACTTTGCAACACAGGCACGTCAGAGAGATTGGACGGTAGTTGGCTGGGTGGGATATTAAGTCCTTTTTAAAAACAGCAGAAACAAGGGTTTTTGACCAGTCAGGTGGAAGTGTACCAGAATCATAGAATTGTTGGAAAATGAAACAAAGCCAGCAAGAAATTGATGAAGAAAGTTTTTTAAGGATTCTAGCTGGGATTTCATCAGGATCACAGGCCTTACTGGGGTTAAGTTCAGAGAGTTGCTTGGCTACGTCTTGGGAGTTGATGAAATCTGAGATGAAGGTATATGGATATTGACCTTTATTTGGAATTGGAGCATTCTCACGGGTGAATACTGAATGGAACTGGAAGTTAAGGGCGTCAGCTTTTGATTTATCAGAAACGCATAATTTGTCGTTGAATTTTAATGGAGGTATGCCAGAGCTGTCAGATTTACTTGTACGTACATAAAACCAGAATTTCTTTGGATTGGTATCTAAGCTTGCGCCAATAATGTCATTCAGATAACTACTGTGAGATTGTTTGACTAGACGAGAGACTAAGTTCTGTTCTTTCTTGAACTCATCCCAGTGTTTAGGTTTGTGAGATTTGAGAGCCTTTTTACGTAGGCGATTATTCAGCCGCATGTGTCGTTTGATAGCAGAGGTTATCCATGGAAGTTTATACTTAGGCGTAGATTTCTTGTGAGGAACATAATCTTAAATACCTTTTATCAAGGTTAATTTAAATTTTAACCAGTTTTCAGATACAGAGTTATGTTGAGGACTAGATTGGAAAAAGTTTTCCGATGCATGTGACATAAATTCATTAAGCTTTGTGAAATCAGCTTTCTTATAGATGAAAACTTTGTGTGGAGGTTAGAACAATCTAGTAGATGCGACATCGATGTTAAACTGGACGGCCAAATAGTCTCTCATTCCTGACGTAGTCGAAATATTAGATACATTGTTAGGGAATGAAGACAATAACAAGTCCAAGGTTTTGTTAGAAGCTGGACGAGTAGGTAACGTGACGTATTGTGTAAGAGAGAAGTCGTCAAGTGTCTGGAGAAGTTTCTTATGATGTAAGGAATTGATTTCACTTAAAAGTTCTGGTGACTCAGATTTCCAGTTGATGTCTTCAAGGTTAAAATCACCACCTAGAATGATATTTGGATAATGATTAGTCGAATCAAATACACAGTTTATAGATTTCTGGAGCTCATCAAGGGCTTCGGAAGAGGAGTTGGGAGGTCTGTAGTAGGATGTGTGTGTAGACTTGCGAAAAATAGTTATGTCCGAGTAGTTAAACATTATGTCAAGAAAGTGTACGTTGTTGTCAGGGAAATTTCCGAATGTAAAGTGGATTTGAGGGTGGAATGAGTTGAAGGCCTGTAGAATGGTTGGGATATCGGACGGTTTTGCGAGAACTACACTGTAAAAACTGATAGGTTAAAATAACCAAAAAAAATAGGTTATTTCAGTTGGTCTAGGACAACCGGTTTAAATAGGTTATTTAAATAGGTAGAAATAACTAAAACTAAATAGGTTAAAACAAACCATTTCTAGTGGGTTATTTTAACCTGTAATATAGTTAATAGTACCTATTTAAAATATGTTATTATAACATTTATTTTTAGGTTAAAACAACCTAAATTTAAACAGTTAAATCTACTCAGAGATATAGGTTGTTTTTGCCAAATAAATATAGGTTGTTTTTACCTATAAATATTTGGTCATTTTAACCAATAATATTTGGTCAATTTAACCTATAAGTTTTGGTTAATACAAATATAACCTATTCTTTATGGTTGAAATAACCCATAAATAATGGTAAAGTCCATGAGTCTAAACCAGCCCTTTAAAATAGGTTACATGCGGTTGATCTAACCTAAAAAAATAGGTTAAAATCAAATAGGTTAAAATCAAATAGGTTAAAATCAATATTTGACTCAAAGTCAAATTAGTAAATATTAAAACAATTTCAGTACTTTGATAAAAATCATGTATTTTTCTTAAGGAATGCATAAGTCTTATATATAATATATAATTAAAATAATCTACGAGATAATTGAGTTCCAGTGTGCGACAATTGCAAAACAGTAAAGTGGAAGTGGAGCAGAGCTTGATGGCATGCGGTCATCATATTATATTGTGAAAGTAAAAAGCTCTTCATATATAGAAGAAACAATGGTTATCTCACAAAATTGTAAGCTTGTAAGCTATATATATAATTGTAAGCTTGTAAGCTATATATAGTTTAGAGTTATACTATATAGAAACATTCACAGAAATAGCCCATGATTGTGAGGGTCATAACTCTCTTCGGGACAATATATCCTGCATGTACAATACATGCATTAAATTAATGATACAATATTATCATAATTTTCATTAGCATAAATTGTTCCATTCAATGTGTTCATAAAATCCTTTAGCTTAGGAAGTTCTCCACGTCAATTGGTAAAGTACCGGTATGGCAATTATTGGCCAAAAGAACATGTTCTAAATTACTAAAACATGTAAATGTTCTTACTATGACCTGTTGGCCCCTTTTGGGTACTGCATGTTAAAACGTAGTACCCTGCAAGCAAACGTGCCACTGCGTTGGTAATATTGCACGGATCGTATCTGAATTTTTTACAACCATTCCCTCTGCAATCAATGAAATCGAACTTATCTCTTCCAGAGGTCCAGTGACCAATAGACGAGAGGTTGAGCATCCTGATATTTTGGGAACAATTTCAGAATCATCCTGGAACAAGGAAATATATAACTGAGTGAAATAAGCATTTCATGCACAACTTACACTTTTGTCTAAATATTGTACTTCTTCTCCTGTAGTTACACTACAAAAATATACATCACTTCATAATTTCTATCTAGATTATTTGTGACCATCCTTGGGAAAACGTACGTTAACGATTTTGCATTAAAACGGGCAAAAAAAGGTTAACGAACAGCTGGTAAACGTTTTGTCAAATCGTTTCAACGGGTCATAAAAACGTTTTAGACGTTTTGAGTAAAAAATACGAACGGGTAAAGACAAAAAATTAATCGGATCTACGAACGGCTTTAACAAACCGTTCGAACGAAATTAAGAAACCGTTCAAACGATATTCGGTAACCGTTTCAACGGATCTGCACAGAATGGTATAAAGCAGTGAACAATAATATACAAAAACGGGCAAGTATAGGCTATACACTGATCCAGAATTAACCAACACACATTTATCCCGAGCATGCGTATAAGCACAAACAAAATAGATCACTTTGGTGTTTATAAACGTTTCAAGTTTTATCGATTTCCGTACCAACAAATTAAAAGACGCTAAAGCCGGAGACACGCGGCGGTGTTTTTGCATAACACGACACAGCTGATATAGATGAGACTTAAACCCGTGACTTAAGTAAGGTCTCTACTGTAAACGCGACTATATACGCAATCAGTTATATTTATAAGGCCTAAAACTAAACGTATAGTAGCTACCTGTAGCTATACGAAACAAGAACTAGAACCATTATCTGTGTTGATGGAACCTGGCGCGAGTGCTATATTGTCTCAATTATAGTAAATGGCTCAGTATCAAAAATCGGGTGTCCATTATAGCGTATTGGTAATTTCCTCTATATTAATGCCTGTGAAACACGACATTGAGATCTAAAATGCTCAGTGCATGCTGAGTTAAATTATTGTTACTAATATTTTCCATAATTAATATATTAGTTAGCTCCGGAATATTAGGGAAAGATGCAGTCACAACGGATTTAATAGCGATAGGCCTATATCTGTTAAAGTAAAAGGTCAAGATGTAAAGGTATATAAACCAACTATAAACAGTTTGAACAGCAAATAAACACAGCATGCACCCAGCAATTAAGGTATATTGCAGAGTGCAGAAAGCAGAATAATGACGATATATTGGTATACTGAAACATTTGATGCTCTCCTTAAAATGTATTCCATAAACATGTACTTCCTCGAAATGCACAAAATCCTGTGAATTTTAAGTCATTATATCACGCTAACTCACTTATCATTCATGTAGTGCTACATACATGCACCAACAAAAAGACGCTCACATACCCTATGATTATAAGCACGAAGTATTTGGCTTCGTTAAAGTTCATTTTATAAGTAAGCCGATACCTTAATTTACATGTTATATATAATATATATTTGCTTGTAAATCTTTTATTCACCTACTTTCTTCCAAATATCGTGTGGTAGTTTATATAGTAGCTACATCTTTTTATATCAGCCTAATCAAGAAGACTTTATCGACCAATTTCCTATTAGCTATGTTTTGCGCAATCACAACATCGCTATTTAAAACGTCTTTATAGCATAAACAACTATATATATAAGGCTGTTCCTGACTGGAACGTTTGGAAATTCCGCGCCTGAAATTTTGAAAATTTAATAGTATTGTAAATATAGAAAGTGTTAAAATTGCGCGGTCGATATCTCCGCTGCGCGATACAGACATTCCACACTGGACTGGCTGTTTTCCCCTATTTATTTTGGGAAATGCAAAAATAGCTTGGAACACCTTAATATACACAACCTTTCCTGGCGGTCTTCTATTTTATTTTATTTAAAGAAATCAGAAATAAATAATGATTATTGAATCGGCATAAGTAGTTGACCACCAGGACTACGCTAACCTTACGACGTCTTCTCACTTCTGATGTCGTCCGTTTTAGTAAAAGAATACATAATGTATCTTCGTCTTCCCAAGTAACGTATCTTCGTCTTTTCAACTATCGAACTTACAGTCGCACGCAGGTATACACTCTATCTATTGGCGCAATTTGAAATTTGCAAGCTAATATTTCACTTGACATTGATGTCAACTTGCATAAGAATAGCTTGATAATATTATACATGTTATTTAATTATGCTTTTGAGAGAGTTGAATTTCACGCAGCTGGAGTATTTTCCAATGACTGAAG